GGTAATAGTATAATACATAGCTCATACTTTTAAAAGTTTTACTAGATATGATTTCATGTTTATACATTATATATATTTAAAACCTCCAGTTCATATTAATTAAAGGATTTTAAATATAAGTTCCTTAAATTTAATATTTAAAGTGAACAAAATAGAGAATTGTTAATCAATGGTAAGCCGACATCTGAAATCTTGCAAAATTGGGTTGTAATATTATTTGTGTGTATATATTTTTCAGCTCCGTTTTATCGGCCTTTTTTTCAGTTCCGTATATCTCCGCTACACGGTATTTTTTGAGGAATTCTGCTATATTCCCACAGTTTTTTGTTATTCTGAACACTTTTTGAATATTCTATTCAAGGCCCAAATCAACTTCAAAAAGTGATAAACCATGACCTTTAAGAAATGCATCTAGAAATATAGCTTACTCAGTCTTTAACCTCCGTCACTTGTTATAATGAGATCGTATCGCTCTTTCCCGATAAATAAGTGGGTAAACTTTAAGGGACAAGTAGGGCATTTTTTGGGCCAATCATACTTTAGTCTCAGAAACTGGAATTTATTAGCTAAGTTAAACAGTAATAGTGTTCACAGCTCACCGTCGAAATTGAGCCTTCAAAATCTTTGTGTATCCATGTATATGGTTTGAATGTTAAAATAACGACTCGTCAATTTAAGATACTCTGTGATATAAAGAAAAGATATATATTGAAATAGTGAGTAAAATTCCTAGTTTGAGATATTTTTAAAGGAATTATGTGGTTTTCGTACATTCCAGTACTCATGAAGACTATTTATATATATTCAAGACCCACCAAAAAGCCACAACTGTCCCTTTAAATAACGATACTCGTTTTACCTTCTGCCGATGATCACTTTTTGTACAATTTTTTTCATTATTCAAACAGAAGTCGAAAAGCTTTAAAAAATTTTTTTTAAAACATTCCTTTTCTTCCTTCCTTTATTCATTCATTTACCACTTTGTCTGCCTTGTTGGGAAAAACTGTCAAGTTAAATAAACTGTCCGCCAGAAAAGACCAGATTTAGATTTGGGCGATTGCATTTAGTGTATCAAACGTCTGCTTGTACTGCACGAATCCGGTCCAGTTGACACGAGATACAGAACAAAACATTCTCCAAACACAATGTTTGACTTCCATTATTTCAGCCTAAATCAATTATTCAGAGACTTTATTACCAAACAAGGCCCGAAAAAGAACCATGATTACCACAGGCATCTGTTTCTATCAATAGTCGTCTCTCTCTATAATAGTATATATATTGATAGAAACAGATGCCCGTGATAATTATCCTTTTTGATATTTTGATCATTACCAATTCAAAGAGAAACTGATACTTCGATATATACATGGAACAGTGCAATCGGCACTTCAAAAATATGTCGGATTGTACAGGTTTTTCAATATGCTTAAAATTACAAATTCCACAGACGTCAGAATGAAATTAGATTGATGCAAATCAATGCTGACAATGCCCCCAGTACACTTTAAATGTGAAGAAAATCTCTTTGCATTTTATTTAATGTTAAGAACCGTAACCAATCGAGAATAAACATATAGGATAATAAATGACTTTAAGTATTTTCCTTTCACTGAGAGGTGATCTGGAACAAAATTCTGAAATAGTTTTTTTATCTCTGATTTCAATTCTGAGATTAATTTGGTCTATTGATTGTTATCTTAATTATTTCATTACAAAATCAAAGAAAGTTAAAGAGACAGTATGCAATGCAAAATTTGCATAATCAAAAACGTTGTAAATTATACCTGAAATATTTCTAACGCATGCTATTTATATTTATGTTTCTACTTGATCAAACTGAATTTGTTTTAAAAGGGTTAATTAAAAACGGAGAGTACTTATTGTTAATTAAGCAGTTTGACCTAGTTTTGGTATTTGGCTCTATAATGGCTCGATATTATTAGTTGAAACCTTTAGAATATGTAGGAGACATGTTTCTCTACAATTAGACATTTATTTTACTCAAACCCATAAAGTAGTTTTTAACAGATTCCAAAAAGGCATAACGAATCCCCTGTAAATAGTATTGGCGGTAAAAAATTAAGGACTGGCTTTTTTTTTTAATTCAAACTTTCAGGTACGTTAAGGGACATACTTCTTTAGATTTTGATGCATAGTTGTTACAAATCGCGTTATATATGAGGATAAACTTTTTAGAAATATAAGTAATTATTGTTGTATATTTTTGCAATTTATCGTTATTTTATTTTTTTTTTTTTTTGTTAATCAGGTATTTATCTCCACCCTTGTATTTACATTAAAATTTAATTTCCAAATTTTGCATCTTAGTTTCTGCAGTCTTCTTACCAGTTTTACTGCCATGGACTATAATACTAACTGGTTTTACCCTCCACGTCATCCAAACTATCACCCTAAAAGCAACACTCTCGCTTTTATGATCGTCAACCCAACTATCGACAATTTCGCCAGACCACCTCAATCGTGCTGACATCGTGCTTCAGAAATTTCAAATAAGGCAAGCAACAGTCAGCCCACACGTGGGTTTCTTTTCAAAATTCAAGGTCAAGACCGGTTTGTAAAACCAGCTCTTCGGAAATCTACAGTATTTTCGGCAATATCAATAAAAATTTGGCAAAAGACGTGGCATTTACACACTAATTATGCTTGCAGAAAAAATTAACTTGATTAAAGATGGGTTCCCTTTTTTTCATTTATGAAAATGAAACTGCTAATACTTACATGAACGGAAAGTACAAGTGTTCTCACGACTTGTGAAAATACCAGTTTGTCGCACATGTCCATAAATAATTCATAATTAGCTAAATTTGAACAGAATTACCACCAATGAGTGACCGATCAAGAAAGGTCAAAAGTCTTTTTTTGTTTATTCAGACTGTACATAGGCCAACATGGACGTTTATGATTGGTTAAAACTTGTAATTACATGTATATGCAATGAGAACATAATATGATTAAGAATACATGATAAGAAACACAAGTTAATCGAATAATTTGCTGAATTTGACACTAAAAAATAAGAAAACCCATCTTTAATATGTTGGCGAAACTCAAAATGCGTTGCGAACCCGTTTCCGACCACTCCATTGATGACCTGATTATGCCGAATGTGTAGCAGCTATTCTCAATATCAGACCGGAGATTATAGCGCGAAAATTATTGGATGGACCAACTCGGCACAGTATATCCTAACAGACTGAATATCCAGCATGATAATCAAATTATCCCATTCGTAGTAACAAATAATCACACTGCAACAAATGCACCCGTAATTGTTAAAAACCAATATAGGACCTTCAAGAAAAGTATCCCCACGTGAACACCAAGCAACTCGTGACCAACTATAAGCGAAACAAAAGATTAAGTAATCATTTAGTTCCTGACAGACTTGGTCCCCTTCAAGAAAATATTTGGGTATTAGTGACTCTCGAAAGCACCGGCATCAGAATTTTTCCTACCTTGAGAACATTTAGGAGAAGAGATCACATTAAATAATGGAACACAATCTTATGGCATAGGTCTACTACACACAAACGGAGTTTAGGGGCCTACCATAAAATTGTGTTCCGTTTTACAAGGACGGTATATAAATTTAGCTTCCTAAAAGGGAATTAAATAAACTAAATACTTTCTCCCGGTGTTCAAATCGGTAGGCCTACTGATATACTTTGAATAAATCATTCAAGATGTGTCTTCTTATTGTTCTTGTTCGTATCATGCTTATTGTAGGGTTAATTGATGTTTCTAATGAATAATTCAAGTATCCTTGATTTTGATCGGGGATGTAGAAAAGCATGGGGAATCAGAAGGAATGAAAGAGCTAAAAATAGATACTTTGTGTATTCAATGACCAAAATAGACTGTGATAATCTTGCCACATTTTCGTAATAGCCTAATATTTATTATCCAAACTGAAATTAAAAGACATAATTATAAGTTAGAAATAAAGTAATTAAAAACACTCTGTATTTAGGAAAAAAACAACGTCTTTTCCCCTATTTTTATAGGCCCACATTATAATAATTATAAGGTCGTCGCCCCTGTTCGTCGGTCCATTCGACCATAATTGGCTTGTGAACGCAATAGAGACAACAGTTTTTATCTGATTTTAATAAAATTTGATGTGATGATTTATATTAATGAGATCTTGGACAAGTTCGAGTTTTACAATCTTTCGATGAACTGTTTATGAGTTATTGCCCTTGACTTAAGACGAAACAGGTCAAAATTTGTTTGTGAACACAATAGAGACTACAGTTTTCAGCCAATTTAAATGAAATTTGGTGTAATGATGAGATCTTAGACAAGTTCGAATTTGACGACTTTTCGATTAACGGAATTTGAGTTATTGCCCTTGACTTGGTAAATACGCATTAACGCTTGTTAACGGAATAGAGGTGTAAGTTTATATCAGAATCTTGTGTGTTTAATGTGTTTCATTAAATCAACAATATCTTGCACAAATTAAATTTTTGGTAAAATGTGACCACCCTTGATATAATGAAAATGTATCAGGAAAGTGGGCGTATCTTGCTAGGCAACCACTTGTTGAATATAACCATTTGGTAGTCTTGACATCATTTGGCTGAAAAAATAGAGTTACCTCCCTAATAGAAAGTCTTTATTAAGGGACCGATTGATCGTTGGAATCCCTTCGTAATTAGCTAATTAGGTTATTACTGAGATGTTTCTTACTTTTCCCAATCATTTGAACACCTCTTTTTTCTATATTCAAATATATATAAAAATAATAATAAGGGAAGGCATCTTCAATACTTTAAAAGTTTCCAAATTCTTCATTACAACTGTGAAATGAATTTTCAACTATCTACCATGTAAATGGCACATACTGCCTAAATATGAGGATATGACAGATAAAGTTCCTCATGGCGAGTTCAACCTGCTTATTTGTAGGTTTGCCATGTATTTTCCTGTCAAAATTATGACAAGACACTTCGAAAAAAAAACCAAATAAATTTCTATGATTTTTTCAAATGTGTTTTAGTATGCAATTTTATGCCCAAAGAATGTGAGAAACTCATTTCACAAACATCACATTTATATGGTTTCTCTCCGGTATGTATTCTCATGTGAACTTTACGATGCGATGCAGTAATAAAAGATTTTCGACAAACATCACATTTGTAGGGTTTGTCTCCAGTATGAGATCTCATGTGAATGTTATGCTTTGATATCGTTATAAAACATTTTCCACAATCTTCACATAGATAAGGCTTTTCGTGTGTATGTGTTCTTATGTGAATCTTAAGTTTAGTAGACAGTGTAAAACACTTTTCACAAACATCACATTTGTAAGGTTTTTCTCCAGTATGCATTCTCATGTGAACTATAAGATTTCCTGGTGCACTAAAACTCTTGAAACAAACTTCACATTTGTGTGGTTTCTCTCCAGTATGTTTTCTCGCGTGAAGTTTATATTGACTTGATGTAGAAAAACATTTATCACACACATCACATTTGTAAGGTTTTTCTCCAGTGTGAATTCTGATGTGAACTTTAAAATCATACGCAGTAGTAAATTTCTTTTTACAAACATCACATTTGAATGGTTTTTCTTTCATATGTATTCTTTTATGATAGGTGTGACGTGACAGTTTTGAAAAACATTTTCCACAAACATCACATTCGTAGGGTTTCTCAGGCATATGTACTTTTATGTTATTACAAAGTGTTCTTGTCCTCTCAAAACCTATTCCACAAATACCACAATGGAAAGTTTTCTTGTCAATATGTTTTGTCATTTGAACTTTAGTATTCAAGGTTAAATCTTGGTCTGTATCACAAACAGTTTTCACTAATACAAACTGTGGTAAACCTAGCAGTCGTATCATTTCTCCGTAGCCCCTTACTGGTACAAGGAGAAGGCGATTTGGAAAGGTTTTTGTAGTGTTCATAGTGAATTGTTTTTTCTTCTCTTGGGATAAAAACCGGCAGTGACAAATACTACAGATTGACCTATGATTCTAGTCATTTTTATGAAGAAAATTAAACGTGGTCGTATTTTACAATATTGTACTTTAAATAAAAGTAATTACAGACGGAATCAAACAGACCTAACCATTACAGAGATATTGTATGAATCAAACAACCTCACCGGATGTAGCTCTTCAAAAATTTTTAATTAGAGGTAAAATCAGTTATCTGATGAAAACAAACCCAGTTTTCTTCAAGGAAAAGTAATATTGGTTCAGTATTTCGTGTAATTTTCGACTTTGCTCCGCAACTAGATAATTTTCGACTACAAAATGAAAGTCTCACAAGTTTTGAATTGTAGTTTTTCGTCCTGGTATCCAAATTTTAAAGACATCAGCATCCCGAGGTGAGATATTTTATGACATCATTCCACGATGAGTGCCATGACCATTTCAGTGATTCATTATCTGATATTTTTTGCGATGTAGTCCTGTCATCCTTCAATTTTGAATTGGAAATCATGTCTCCTATATTTCTTTATCTTCGTTTTCTTCAGAATATTATATTCACTACAAATGACTGAACTTGATCAGACAAGATTATTTGAACTTTGATTTCATCAAGTTACATTTTGTTGGCTTTTTTCTCTGACTAGCTTTGAATGAATTATGAATAAATGTAATGGCTGTATAATTTTTTGAAATTGTGATGTAGATTCTCTTGAAATATGACCATTCTGTTAGGTTACATACAAGGTAGCAAAATGAATCTAACAGTGGTAGCCTCTGTTTGATAATGCCAAAGGTTTATTGAAACTATTAGCTGGCGTCATAATGATGTAATTAAGTCTGTCTTGTGTTAATTAATAACAATATTAAGTATTATTAATAACTGATGCTATAAGTAGGCTATGTCAGACATGTACAAGAGTTCTTGGCTTATATCTTTGATCTTATCAACTCTTGTTCTATGTCATTCCTTTTCCCTTTTACTTTAAAATCAATGCATTATAAAATGAAATTATTTTTAGGTATTCAAAATAACTGATGGTAAAAGTAGTTCATCTCGACCTACTTTATAGTAATTTTTTGATTTCTTAACTAAACCAATAAAGTTTCTAAAAATTTGATATTTTTGTTTCAGTGTGTACATACCCTTACCTAAAGAATTTATAGAATATCTCAATTCTGAAGGTGTGGCACTACCTGACAGGTATGTTCTGAACAGATTAAAGTATACCAGTATATGTACATAACAGGGAATTAGAACTTATATTTTGAAATATTTAAATGATAGCCTGAAAGAAGCCTTTAAATAATTCCTAAAAATTATTTTAGTTTTGGAAATATGAATATGGGACTTTGTGATATTAACATACAAAAACTTAGGAAATTGATTTCCATTGCATAAATTGATTATGATTTTATATTATTTTAGTGCTATCTATGACAGTGGTGGGGCAGATTTTACTGGAGATGATGGCCAAGTAAGTTTATTTTAGTTTTCATACAAACTCTTATTGATTCACCCTGATTATGAAGTCAAATATTGTGGTGCTGACTTCAATACTTCATAAATAATCCAATAATTAAGTGTCATTATTTTTCTCTTGAGTCATATTCAGGTATTATAAAACATCTAATCAATAAATTATATATTCGAACTCAGGTAATCTAGGAGGGAAGCATGCTCTTTATAGCATATCACAGTACTTGTGCCAGTAAAATTACAGGTTTTTTTCTTACCCTACCACTAGTTTTGAAATCTGACATCAAGGTTTATTTTTATCACATATTTTTCAGGATTCATGGGGTGGTTATGATGCAGCAAAAGCAGAGGCAAGTATTAGATACTAGAGATTAGACCCCACAAAATTCTTCTGATCATAATTTAATAGTGAACCTAAATTGAGAAGAATGAAATTGCTTCCCAGATGTAAGAAAAATAAGATAATCTTCAAATAATATTTACAAACAGGCAGACCATGAGATATATAATTCTTGTCTTGTGTATATAAGAAATAGGCTTATGTCGGCAGAATATCATGAATTGTAGACATATTATCAGTCTGAGGAGAGGCAATTTTAGATAATTGTTTCCCTCTAACAAGAACATCTCAAAATGATTATGGTATTTCCGTTTAAAGGTCCCAGCTTTCCCTGAATTTGAAGCTCAAATCCAAGAAAACATTGATAAACTTGGTGGAAAAGTTTTTCCCAAATTAAACTGGAGCTCTCCTCAGGTATTTAATATTTAATTGACCTTATATTGTTTAATGTTTGAAATTCTTTACATATGTTGGAATTTGAATAAAAACATTTTTATTCAGTTTTTGAGAATGTTGCCTATAAAAGAAAAACAAGATCTACTAATCAGAACCACAAAACAAAACCTTCAATCCAAAATAACAGATTACCAATACATTCGTAGCGTTTAATGAACTTTCCATATGAGGAAGAATATCTATCAAGTGATTTCAGACGTCAATCTGTGTTTCTAGTATTTTGCATGCTATTTAACTATAATGGTATACACGTAATTTCACTGTTACAGCTTACTCTGGTAGTGCGTTGAGTTTTTCAGTAGCTAGTATGCTAAGGGTTAAGTTGTCATGTATTTGAATCAATTCCTACCATTACTCTCAAACAACAGAGAGGTCTTAATTGAATTTTTCCCTTTATTTCACAAAATTTTGAAATAAAAATTTCAATTGTGTATCATTTCTAAGATTTCCCTCCAAGAAATAGCACCTCAATAATTAAGGGAATTCTTTTGATTAAATTTTCAGGATGCTACATGGATATCATTTGATAAAACATTGAAATGTACCTGTCCCTGTGATCTTTATTTATTGTTAAAAAGTTCGGATTTTATAGCACATGATCTAACTGAACCGTAAGTTTCTGAATTTCTTACTTTCGATTCTATACTATTTTATAAAATGCAGGATCTAGATGGGATATACATCAACATCACAATAAATACTTGTAATTAAGGTTATTTGATATATCTATTGTCCCAATTAAAAGTATTATAACAGAACATGTTGTTACTCAGAGTTTCACGCTATGCGATCTTCAGACAGCTGATCTTTTATTTTATGACAGTGGAAGAAATGTTTCAATATTTCTATAGACCCAATTAGAATTATGGAAACATGTGTTCCATTTCTTTTGTTTTAGATTTATTCATTGTGAAGACTGTGGGAATCAAGAACCTATCCAATATGAACTGGTGTTAAGAAAATGGATGGATATACAAACTGGAATGGAATTTCGTTGTTTTGTTAGAGATAAAAATCTTATAGGTGAGTAACTTTTATTTTTGATGTGAACAAAAATTGCTCTGACTTGGAAAATGGTTCTGGTTGTTTTCTGATAAAAGCAATATCTTTGTGGGGAGTATCTGAAATCCAAAAGTATAGACCAATACCTTTATGAATTGGAAGTCAGTTTTCAAATGGTCAGCATCTTACTGAAGCTCCTGGTGTTGTTATTACACCAAATTTGGGAAACTAATTAAATACAAATATTATTTCACAGCTTTGATGTTACTGACAAGTCATGCTAGCATAATTTTTCTTACTTTATGAAAGATTTGAGCCTGCACCACCTAATCCCCTTGAAACAACAAACTAACTCCTCAGCCACTTTTTAGTGTTATTATTGGTTATATTTCAGCTATTAGCCAACGACATCACACACAATTCTACGAGTTTATAGGTAAAGATAGTAAAGATATAGTAACAGATATACAATCATTTTATAAAGAGAATATTCAAGGAAAATTTAAAGATGACAGCTGTAAGTTTTTATGTTTGTGTTTGAAAATCTTGTTAGATGGTGATGAGAACATAATTGTCTTTAAAACACTGGCCGAAGCATCTTAGTGTTTCATAAAAGAAATAACATATATTTAACAGAAATATGACCCTTACACTCTAACAAACACTCAAATGCCTTTTCAAATGAAGTAATCAGATGTTTCAAATTTCTATAACTCATGAGTTAAAAGTTTTTTGTAATGAATGATTGATTTGATGCTGTGAAATATACAAACTAGTTTTACTGTTTGATTCTTGATATTTCAGTTGTTTTTGATGTGTACAGACAGGACAAGGTAATTTTGTGTATATTTACTAGAGCTTTCAATACATATTATCTACTCATAAAGATTAAACGTACGTCAAATCTATACTTCAGAAGACAATTTCTGAACTTCAGAAGACAATTTCTGAACTTCAGAAGACAATTTCTGAACTTCAGAAGACAATTTCTGAACTTACAATTCATGAACAGTGATCCACCTTCTGTATATTCTTGTTTTACACTGCATGCTATTAGCCAAAAGTCAAAAAGAGCAATTGTTATTTGATCATTAATAATCATTTCTTTGATGGTGTTCATGAGATTGTGGTTTGTGTTCTAATCTTGGTTTGTCTGTGAACTGTAATCTAAGAAAGAGCACTTCTTATTGGTTTGATTAGCAGTGAAGTTTCTCAAAATATCTAATATCTTCTCAATTTTCTCAATATACCTCAAAGCGCCAAGTCCACGAGATTTTGGTACAACCTCCAGAATGGAGTTATTTCTAGGCATTCAGAGCATATCTTGTTTGTTACAGGGTAAAGTCATATTATTAGATTTCAATCCATTTGGTCATGTGACAGATTCTCAGCTATTTAAATGGAAAGAGTTAACCAGTGAGACAGTACCTGATAGTAGTGATGGTCCTACAGAACCAGACGTTAGTTTTTACACTTTAACTCTTTCTTTAATATACCGTCTTTTTGTTAGAGAGCCACAAATTATACGACCAAGCTGTAACTTTGTTGTTAGTTTTTACACCTTATGTATGTTCTCTTCTTGTGACCTCAGCCAATGCTTTTATAGGAGAATATCTTCTATAAAACCCAATACCTTAATTTTTCTTTGATTTACCAATTTTTTGATAGAACGTCATGGATTATAGTAAAATGCTTTGTGTATCAAGTCTTTCTTTGTTGGAATGTGGGAGTGCAACAATTTTTTTTTCCAATTTTTCACTGATCAAACAATAACATGAGCAAAAGCTTTTGAAGTGTAGTAAATAGTTATTTCATTAAGAGGATAAAACATGTCAAAATAGGCTAATGGTAGAAATAAAGGGCCTGTGATAAATAATTGGTACAAATCTTAAAGACATACTATTTATGCAACCAATCTCAAACCCCAAATTGATTCGTTTACAGCAACCAGCATTTCGCTATGTGAAATCTAAAGATTCTCTGCAACCCAATCCGTATGCTGGTTATGGTATGCCTGTAGACTTCCGTGATCTGGCCTCAGGTCATGATCCTGCTAAACTTATGGAATTTCTCTCCTTGGTGAGTATTTTCCCCCTTTTATGTCTCCTCTTGTCTCTTCATGGTGTGCTGATAATAGCACAATGACATCAGAAATAGTAAGATTATGCTCAATTGATGGCAACTATTATATGAGTTGCATCTGATCATTTAAATGGTAAGGACTTACCTGGTGTCATAAATATACCATGGAATCCCTGTATAATCTGATAAACCCATGAAAAAATGTAATTACTGAAAATTGCTTATATACATGTACATTCTTTATGGCCAAGTTTTATGTTCATTCTAAGAGGTAGTATTCCTTTAAATGCCAACATGTAGTCTAGAAATAGAAAGTTTATCTTGAATTTATTTCATTTCTGTCATTTTCATGTAGAATCCAGACAGTTTTCAAGACTACAACTATCACCCTGACGATGAAGATGATGATGGTGGTAACGTAGCAACGTAGATTTTACTCCCTGTTTATCTCTGCTGTTTTAGTTATACTCAGTTACTGACCAATGGAAATCTTGCACACAGATTCAAAATGGCTGCTGTTCCATGACTGTGCAGAAATTATCTGCAGAGACATTACACAAAAGTCTACAGTGTTCATTGAGACATTTAGCTTAAAGTTATGGAAATCTTGTACACAGATTCAAAATGGAGAATCTATTGTCTGTTAATGGATTACGATGAGATTTTTCTTAAACAGAACCAACTAATCACAAACGTACTCGTAAATCTTACAATTTCAAAATGGCTACTGTTTTGTGGTATGTATTTTGACAAAATAATGAGCTCAGTTGGTATCACAGATGATTACTGGTAATGACATTAATGATAGTAAATTTACATTTAGGTGCATGCTTGAACGGTAAAAACTTGGCAAACACTAATACAATATGCTGCTTATATCTATGACAGTGTGTGCTCAATTCTTGCTTTTTCCTTCTAGTCATACTGGCATCTCTGCCCAAACATTTTGCTTTGGGTTATAATCAAGATGGTTCACTGTTGTACAACCACCAAGCTCTGAGTTATGATCAAGAAGGTTCAGTGTTGTACTATTCTTGGTTGACAAAACATAAGGTACCACCTAGGTGTAGGTTGTAATCAAGATGGTTCACTGTTGTACTATTCTTGGTTGACAAATCATAAGGTACCACCTAGCTCTAGGTTGTAATCAAGATGGTTCACTGTTGTACTATTCTTGGTTGACAAAACATAAGGTACCACCTAGCTCTAGGTTGTAATCAAGATGGTTCACTGTTGTACAGCTACCTATCTGTGGGTTATATTCAAGATGTTCACTGTTGTACTATTCTTAGTTGATGAAAGCATAAAATACCACCTGGCTCTAGATGGTACTCAAGATGGTTGGACTGTTGTACAACTATCTAGCTCTGGGTTATAATCAAGATGGTTCACTGTTGTACTGTTCTTAGTTGATGAAAGCATAAAGTACCACCTGGCTCTAGATGGTACTCAAGATAGTTGGACTGTTGTACAATTATCTAGCTCTGGGTTATAATCAAGATGGTTCACTGTTGTACTGTTCTTGGATGATTAAAGCATCAAGTACTACCTAACTTTGGATTGTGTTGCCAATGTCTTGTGACATATCTTTGGATATATTTCCATTTTCTTCAATGGTTAAAATCAGGAATATCTTAATATTGTTTTTATATTACAAACATTAAAAATCAGAACCAAATGTATTTTTTAATATTTTTTACCAATATTTCATATTAAATTTTTAGTAATTTCCACTGAGCATTGTCAAATTTTATCATTAAAATCATATGACAAATATATATAGGCTACTGACAGCCAAATTTGTATAATTTATACAATTGGTGTTCTTGTTGATTTCACCGTAATATATTATCAAATAGAACCTCACTGTTTAGTGTAGAATAGCTCACACTAATTAATTTTCACATAATTAATAGACTTATCTATTGCTCTGTGACCTAGACCGGTGCTTTCATTGAGACGAGTCTCAGTACACCCTAACAGTTACCCCAAAGCAAAGACTTATTATCTCTAACAGCACTTATTTACAAATTCTCTCTGTGAAATATTGAGCCCAAAATTTGTTGTTCACACATATGGACACCGGAATTCTGAAAATACCATCTAACATATGCTGAATGCCAACTTATCCAAAGATAAATTTGTCTGTAATGAAGAAATGAGATTTTTGCACTTTGGTCAGCTGAAATAAATCATTATGACTTAAAGGGATACTGTTGCGTCTCTTTGGTGCCTGATAGAGCTTTTCAGACCACTTTTCAGATTTAAAATTTTCACAAAATTGCCTGCTAAGACTGTCATCATTTCCAGCATGTTAAAATATAGATGAATTATTCATTACCTAATAGACCTTATTCACAAGTTAGCCATGTTGAATCCAGAACAAGGTTCATAATTCAAAGCAAACACACGTAATTTTGTGTCACTGCATAAAATCACCAATCCCTTTAATTCAAAACTAATCATATTATACATCATTAAATTTGGAATTGATGAAGCTATTTGATGATGATTTCAGATGAATTTTACCATCATACATTATTGAGAAAGGCCAGTTTTAAGCCTATTTTCTCACTGTTGATCCAGTGTTTAGTGACATCACATAATTCATTCATTTATATGACGACACCATCTTATTAATGGATAAAGTAATGAAAAAATAAAAAAACGAGGCATGAACAAGGTCTATAGGGCTGTTGATTTTGCTATATTTGCCAGACATGTCCGTTTAAAATGAAAATAGGCAATACCCTAAAAAATCTGAAAAGTGACATGGATAGCTCTATCAGCTTAAAAATATTTAGACAGTTTATCACTTTAAGAATAAATCTGTTTTTTCTAAACCTCAAATCATGATTTTGTGAAAATATTTTTATATATTTTATAAACAAGTATACATTATTTTATATTTCAATTGATTTCCCAGTTTGATTTCTGTTATTTTAAATGTTTTCCACTTATTAGTATGTCGTAAATAAAGAAGTCCATGATTGTATTAGAGATACTGGGCATCCTTAGATTAGGGAGAGTATGAGAATAGACATAGGGCTGTTCATCAAAACTACTGGTTTTTAACTGCTCAGATGGAAAAGTGTTTAAAAATTTGATTTGATGGAATGTGAAAGACCATTTATTCACATGTAGGTAGATTCTCTACATAATACTAATGATGTATAGTAATAGTGCAGCTAGACTGGACTTAAAAACCTTAAAATGAAATACACTGCCTTTCTTAATTTTTAAATTGCACTCAGATGTGATAAATGTGTTGGTTTGACTTAACAGAAGTACATTTGGTATCCCAACTATTTAAAACATTTTTTGTAAGGGAATTATATAAATAGCAAGGTGGCCTTATTTTAGAAAACTTAATTAAGATAAAAATTCAGATTTTAGAAAATACAGTAATCTGATTGGATAATAAGACTTAATTCAAAATTAATTTTACTGATCGACCAATCAGATGACAGGAACACTAAAATCTTGTTAGATTAAGTTTTCGAGAATAAGACACCCAGATGAATAAAACTCTCACGAACACAGTATTGTTAGAAACAGACATTTTATGAGGTTTTTTTGTTGTAATACTTATAGCTTTATTTCATGGACTAAGATATTTTTATTTTGTATTTTATCTTTTCTTGTAATAACATTAATTTATTATTATTTTGAGTTATTTATTTCAATCATTGGGCTTCGTGTCATTATTGGATTCCCTGTGATATCTCATTACATACCCTGGCATACCTAATGCTTTATATATGCTGTCCATGTCTATTTCGGTTACTGTACATGTATGTTTTTAAGCTTTCTGTTCACATTATCTTGTAAACACTGTGGAGTAATTAGATACAAAAAATATTGATCAGATTGGATAGTGGCTATATATGTCCAAATTTTCATGTGGGCTATTAAAATGATGGTCAAGTTTAGAAACTTATAATCCTCCTAATAATCACAAGAGGTTATGCCAGTGCCTGTGCTTTTCAAACATTTTTTAACAACAATGCTACAACCTAAAATTCCTAATAATGAAAATGGTTTAGGTCCTGTCATTTGTCATTTGCCAAAACTATAGGCACCCCAAAAAATGTATTACTTTGTGGCTAAGTTTTATTTTGAATCTAATGATTGAGCAATCACAAACAAAGTCATAAAGTACAACATGGTAATTGTAAATAATAAGAATAAATGCTGCCTAAGAAGTCTCTGTTCAGAGATCAAGTTTTTTCAGCTTAAAAAAGCAAATATATAAAATGACTACATCCTTCGTTACTCTAGAAATTTTGTGCTGGACATTTATAATGATCAAATCTGTCTGTCTGAACATCAGGATGCTATGAAAGAGTGGTAGCTATGATATAAATACAGGAGAGATTTCAACTATTGATGTTATTGAAGTGACTTGTAGAAGAGTTGTAACTAATATCAGCTATGATGGTAATATAGAACATTATTGAAGAGACTTGTATGGTGATTCTGATTTCTGATCTTTACTGTCTTGATTAACCTAAAAAAGATTTTTAAACAAAAATGAAAATGGCTGACTTGTAAATGGTAACAATACAATACAAGGATATATTTTATAGATGTGCTGTACCTGCTATATCAGCCATGTTTTAAGAATAAATATCACAGACTGATTCTCAAATGTATATCTGTGCTAGTTTGGAGAACCAGACTTCCTTTGAGAATACAGGGATATCTCCTTAAGCCGGGTGTTTTATAGCACGAGTTCGCTCTCCGAGAGTACTCGCGAGAGAAACTGCTGGACAGTCACAACTAACTCTCGATAGAACTGCTGAGAGCGATTTCTGTAAGGGGGTCTCCTATAAAATGTCAGGCATCCGAACTCAGCTGTCTATAGAACTGTGGCGAGTGATTTTCTATCAAGTGGGGGTCTGCTACAAACTGTCGAATACCGATTTCTGTTTGAGAGTGCTCTCAAAGAATAGAACAGTGTTCTATTTCTCATATTAGTTGATAGCACAAACTCTCTGATAGTTACTCGCAATAAAATTTACTCTCATTGCTCTCAAATGACCTATTATTTGATATACACAGCCATCCCTCCTCATCAAACCCTGGTCATCAATACATAAAATCATTTAATTAAACCCCATGATATTATTCCGATGAAGCTAACTTACCAAACTCCATCTATATTCATCTTCATATTGTTGTACCTGTTTTCTACGCTGTATCCAGTCTGATGCTTGTTTTGTTAAACTTTTTTCAAGTTGCTGTTTCTAAAATATAACGATAAACATTTAAATTAAACACATCTGTCCAAATCCTAACAGAATTGATGAAAAAATTCAATGTAGTATTTCAGCCTTTTCTAAAACCTTTTGATGTTTGATAAATGGAAATGAAAACTGTGTATGATCCACAAGAATTCTAATTTTAACAGCTCACTTGGAAGAATTTTATATTTATTTGTTAAAGAAAATGTTAATTACCTGTGCCTTTTCCTTCTGTAATTGTTTACTGATTTCTTGTTTAGCTTTTTCACTGGAATTCAACTGGTGCTGAATAAAAAAAATATAACAATAATATTCAAATCAAAATGATGCTTGCAGTGAAGAAACTTTTGCCTTGACGGGGGCATAAGGTTACCCTTTACAATTTCAATCTGTTCAGGTATCTTTAACTTGCATGGTCTTTAGCACATGGGTCCTCAATTTATGGTCTCTTCTGAAAGGACTTTTCTCATGGCAGGCCCTCCAGTCATTACTTGAGAAAAGCAGACTATATTATGACAGAACATACCAATAAACTGTCTCTATCAGAAAAGGTTTCTTTGGCTCTCTTCATTAAATCTTGGTTCTCTTTTCTCAAGTCTTTTATTTCTTGTTCTAGACTTTTCTTTTCTCTTGATAGACTCTGTTATAGAAATATTCACAAATAACATAGAAATTTTGTGTCTGTGTATATTGCTCACCCCAAGTTTGGCAAGCTCTTTTAAGGGTAAAAAACTGCTAAAAATACACTCAAATATACGGTAAATCACAAAAAATTATAATTGATAATTGGGTACTTTTTGACTAATTTAATTAATTTAGAACTAATTTAAATTCTTAAAAATAAAATTAAGTCAATTAAGCTAATGAAATATAAACCCTTAGACTCATACCTGATTTTTTCTAATAATATCATTGACACTGACACCATGTGCCAACATTGACTGTGAATTCGGGGGATCTTCAGAACTACTTCTGGATTCCACTGACCGATCATCTTTGTGTCGGAAAGATTCTTTACCGCTATTGGCTGATTTAACATTTTCTTTACTACCACTGGCTCCACCTGGTTTGCCGTAAGGCTGCGTTCGATATTTTTGCCGCTCAGTATCATACAGATCTCTATATCGATTAGTCAGCTCTTGTGATTTCTTTAACTCTTCTTGCATTGAGATTAATTTGGCACTTGCTGTAATTAAAGATTAAAGAGAGTTTTGTCTGAAATTGTATAATTATTGTAGCTTAAAGCTCTAAGCTATTAAAACTTAGCAACTCTGTCTTAATTTGAGAATTAAGTCCACATAGCAAACAATGTTTATTTGGCATATTCATTATTCAAAATCAAATATATAAGTTCATGTAATCGATTGAGTGTTGTTCAGTTTTTAAATGATTACATTAATGCAATACTTCAAATATTAAGATGGTGATCTTACCTTCTTTGGCTTTCTTTTCAAAATTTTGTACAAATTTAACAGCCTGTGACTGAGAATGTTTACAATCATCTTGCAGCCTCTCATTTTCTTGTTTTATATACTTTAACTCTCGGATCTTTTCTTGTAACGCTAATTCTACTTTCAGTTTCTCATTATGAACTTCAACGTTTCTCATTAACTGTGCCTTTAATTCACTTTCTAACTCTGATTCTTCTGCACTCTTTTCATTTTTTCTGAAATACATTAATGTGATATGCATTAAAGATGGGTTCCCTTATATTCATGTATGAAAATGCTAGTAGAGGTGTTCTAATGACTTAGACAAATACCAGTTTGTCTCACATGTCCATACTTATTCATAATGAGCAAAATTACAAGAGAAATACCAGCAGAATTCCAATAAGTGACCAATCAAGAAAGGTCAAAAAGTCTGTTTTTGTTTATTGAGACTGTACATACTGGGACATTTATGGCTGGTTAAAACTCTTATTTAATAAGAACATAATGATATGATTAAGAATACATGATAATTCATTAGAAACTCCAATTAATCAAATAGTTTGCTTAATTTGACACTAAAAAATAATGAAACCCATCTTCAATAGATAAAAAGTAGCACTTTATCTTCAAAGCATCAATGATTTTTTTTTACTACTGTATATAAGTAACTTAGTTCAGTAAATTTATTGTTGAATTTCCAAATTTATTTTCACAAATGGAACTTTTCATTCAATTTGGAATATATCGAAAGGAAATCTGTCCAAATAACATTCAGCCATGGAAAATCAATTACAATATCAGCCCTTTAAATACTTCATATATAGGCTTTTACCAACCTTGTCTTGTCTTTGGTAGTTTCTTCATCATTCTGATTATTTTCCAATTCTTTTTTACATTTCTTTAATCTGTCTTCTAGCTATGAAAAGAATGAAACGAAATAGAAATTAACTTCATACTTAATAACATGTACACATGAATACAAATGCAGTACATTCTTTTTAACCTTGTCTTAAGCAATTTATTGAGAGATTGTGCTGGTGCACCTAGTCACCTAGCTAAAACACAGAAATTTGTTAAATCTATGACCTATTCAAAAATGTTGATAAAAACAGTAAACTGAAAGAGTTTTTGCTGAATAAAGAAGTTTGCCTACCTTTTGAACGACTGGTATACTTTGTGAAACTTGTTTTAACAAACTATCAGTCGCTGTTTTTTTATCCTTGTCTTTTTTAGCTGAATCTAATTTCTTGATGTCATTTTCAATAGCTTGAGATCTACTGGCTATTACATCCAGCTGATTCTTTAGGCTCTACAAGTTGTATATAATGTAAATCATTGATGAAAATATAAATTTGGAATGGTCTCTGACAACCCACCTGGCCATCTGATATACAGGCATAATAATCAGTAATTATCTTAGAAGATGCACAGTGAATATTTTAGGTGTCATCTTCACAATGTCAAGCTATGACAAACTTCATCTTATACAGCAATCATTGCTGCATTCAATGAAACAAGAAAGGAGGCTATTACAGTCAAGGTATAAGACAAGAGTCGTAATAGCTTGACAATGTGAGTGAGAAGGTGTAGGATAATTGCTTTTTTGAATTTTAAATAATAATGTTTGATAGTTTTCTTCTGAGAAAGACCTGATCAAATAAAGAAATATAAACTTATAATTTGGACCTTTGAATCTTAAATTTAAATAACTACTTAGTTTATGTGGGCAAAATAAGAAATATTTTTCGACATACCTTTAAACTGCCTGCCATTTTGTTAGAAAGTGTGTAAAGTTAATCTCAATCACTATAACAATAATAACTTGTAATATAACTTCTAATCATAACTAATCTCTCAATCAGTTGGTGGTATTCAGGTGGGCTTCTTTTACAAACTTACAAATCAAGGAAATAGTATAACCATTCAATAAGCTTTATAACTTTACTGGGATACAGTCAAATAATGATTTCAAGCTCTCTGGGCTCAAGTTTATCTTTGAGGGTTTGGCTGTTGTCAATTTTGTGATATTGTTAGTTGCTAGGTTATGACTAAGGCAGACTTTGTTTCCATTCATTTATATAGCACAGTTTTATGTGATTATGCCATTTGTTACCACTTCAAAGCTGTATTACGAATAATCCTGACGACACTGGATAGATCTCATGAATTCCAGATCAATATCAAAGATCAGAGGTATCACACTATATAACTCTATGAAAAACCTTCGTACAGGCCTTACCGTTCTCCAATTCTTACCCTGTCCACAAAGGGTAACAATATATTGGTTATCGATATTAATTTTCTACAATAAGCACAACTTAAGAGACAGTAAGCATAATTTGCCTAACACATTTTATTGGTTTGCTTGTTTGTAAACCTTTCCCACCTATATGACTTTTTGTTAGGCAAGACACTATCACCCTGTCTATTCAACCAGAACAATAGACAGGGGTCACTCAAGGGAAGTAATTCATTCATTCTATACTAGACTAACAATAAGCTGTATACAGTAATAATATACCTATTGAATTCCACTGATTTGTAGATCACTACATACAATAATTATACGATTTTTGTTTACAATGGATTGGACAAATTCTATTATAAATAAATATTTTATTTATTTTACTGACAAAATGAACCCAAATACTAGTGTAATAAAATTATCTTTAATTTGTCAGTGACTTTCTTTTTCCTAACTTAGTGTAAAGAGATCTTCTTGTGTCTATTAGGAACACCAATAGCAACAATTTGCACCATGGCAAAAGTTGCTAATACAAATTGAAAATTTTAATAGGATAGTTTAAAATAACTACAATATGATTGATGATAAGACATTCTGAACCTTCCAGAGCATCTTGTGCTATTCCCTGATAGTTCTTCTTTCATATCTGTTTATGCCCATTTAAAAAGTTTTACCAATTTGTCTATGACATGCTTTAACCTAGCACATGATAAGAAGTCTAAGACAAAGTTAAAGAGTGCTGTTGATAAAGTGTCCAGTCACTAATATTGGACTATCAAACACTGTATCAATATCTAATACACATTCTTATTAGAAAATAAAAGTCAGCTTTCACAGGTTGTTAAAACATGTCCGACAAAAACATAAATCAAGTCCTGACTGTCTTTTACTGGCACATCCAATTTTAAGGAACATGTTCATCATATAAGTCTAATTTTTTCAAGGTTGTCAGAAAGTAAGGAAGCAATGGAGCTGAGATGGTGATAGGTTTAGCAGTTTTGTGTGGAAACTGTAGGAGATGGATCTCATGTCGATGGATGTGTTCTGGCATTATTTCTGATGTTTCTTTTGTTATTCCTAAAGTTTTGAATATTGGCTCAAATTTCCCCTGCAATAAAAAAATATCACTAATAAAGATGAAGATTGGTTAAAAACAGTAATTTTTCATCTCAAAGAGTGCCTTTATTGTAATGCTTTGAATTACATTTTTCCTTTCTTTTGAGATATTTTGAGAAAAATTCAAAAGTTCAAGGAAGAAGGATAAGAAGATTTCACATTCACCCTGATCTATTCAAATCCACAATGCTCTGTTCAAATCTACAATGATGTATTCAAATCTACTCTGAGCTATTCAAATCTACTCTGAGCTATTCAAAACCACTCTGGTCTATTCAAATCCACAATCTCTGTTCAAATTTACAATGATATATTCAAATCTGAGCAATTCAAATCAACTCTGAACTATTAAAGTCTACTCTGAGCTATTCAAATCTACTCTAATCTATTCAAATCTACTCTAATCTATTCAAATCTGAGAAATTCAAATTGACTCTGAACTATAAAAATCCACTCTAAGCTATTCAAATCTACTCTGATCTATTTCAAATCTACTTTGGGCAATTCAAATCTACTCTGATATATTCAAATTTATTCTGATTTATTAAAATCTACTCAAATCCACCCAGATAAATTCAAATTTTCCCAGAAAAATTCAAATCTACCCGGATGAATTCAAATCTTCCCAGAAAAATTCAAATCTTCCCAGATAAATTCAAATCTACCCAGATAAATTCAAATCTACCCAGATAAATTCAAATCTTCCTTTACATTCAAATCTTCCTTTACATTCAATTCTACCCTCATCTATTCAAAATCATTCTGATGTATTCAAATCTACTCTAATCTACCTTTATATTCAAATCTACCCTGATAAATTCAAATCTACCCCCATCTATTCAAATGCATTCTGATGTATTCACATCTATTCAGCCACTTCAGTGAGAGTCTAAAGATGGGCCTCTTGAATATTTGTTAGTTTGATCATACAGCAAGCCAATCAAATTCCTGCCCTAACACGGCAAAAAACGAAGGTGTATTCTGAGAAAGATTAGACACTGAATGCACCGTTTGTTTGTGTCACAAACTTTGGAGAGGGCAAAACGTTTATTTGCTGAAGTTAATAAAAGAGGGAACATAAGATTAGTCTAATTTCAATTAAACTGAGCCTACCGTATCTTCCACTGTATTACTGTCTACAGGAATCGTCTCTCCTAAAACGGTTTTCATCCTAGTCATATTATATACATCTCCTAATACTAGACATCTCTTCCAACGTAAATATTCTTCTAAACTATGCCAACTATCTGCAACGCACAAAATATATTCTTTAATGTAGTTTAGACGTACTATTCTGCTAGGCTAGTTTAATTTTTGTATAGGTCACAGTATGGAGCTCCAAACCACCTGTAGGATGTTAAGTAGTTTTATGACCCAGAACAGGATATACATATAGACAGATCATGGATGGCAATAGACTGAAACATCTGTCTCTATTTCAACCTCTGATGGCTTTTTGGACAGATGTCGGCTGGTGTAGAGACAGAAAAAGTAGACCCTGTTAAATGGGAACATTCCGCAGGTGCAGGTATTTTTACCTATTTAACTAACTTGGTTCTGCAAAACCCAGATATATTTGGAGAGATGGAAAGTTTTGTAGTTCAGTCATACCATCACCATTTATGTCACATCTCCGGTTCCATTAAAGTTTTTTTCATGAAAATGATCTAGCATTCAAAACTTCAAAGGTCACAGAGTCAAATGATACTAACAACATGAATGTAACAATGATGCACAACACTAATTTACAATCATCGTAAAGGTAATTTAATATTATGTTAGAAAAAATGCATCTTCGGAGGTGTGGAAAATCCCTATTTAACAGGGTCTTTTTTTTTCTGACTCTACTCCAGCTGACAACTGTCAAAATATCCATCAAAGGTTGGAATATATTAAAATGTTTTGGACTAGAATTGCAAGTGCAGTCATCCACAGAAAAATTGCTTAAAACAAAACATCAAGATATTCTATTAATCAGATTAGGGAATAGCAAACTAACACTTACTTCTGTTACATTGAACCTGTAGTGCAGCAACCCCTAATTTATCATTAGCTGCTAGCAACTGACTTTTATAGTGAACTTGTACCTGTGTTCCACTTCTTTTACCTGCTGTAGATTGATATGGTATAATATTTGTCTGAAAAATAGTTTTTAATAAAGGTTTTATCACTATTATACATAAATGAGCTCTTTGCTATCTATGTTTGTTTCCTACAATATGTGATAATTCTAAAGGGGCAGTATTCAAAATTTTTGCCTGTTATTATATCCCTTTCTGAATGAAATGAGCCAGTTTCCACTAATTATGTGGTATTTTATTTTGTGATATGTTTAAAACCAATTTGTCACAATTTCGTTTGTTGCTATCAACATATCTTTAAAAATATAAATAATTGTTATAAAGTTCCTATCAGGGCAGGTAGTTATCTTTCTTATACTAAGACATTCATACTAGTCTCAATACACCCTATTACTAAGATTTGTTGTGTTTGAGCAAAGTTAACAATCACTGAAAAAATGTAAATATTACATGACCCAGCATAACCCAGAAAAGGATTTCATGACAGATCTCGTCAGATCATGAATGAGAGATGGAGTTATATGCAGATAAAACACAAAACAAAACATCCAAATATGTATTTTAATCAGATTAATAGATTACCTCTTGAATAACTTTTCCATATTTTTTAACTTGAGATTTCTGAACAATGACTGTCTCTTCTAATGGTTTGTTTATCTTTGGTAACCCTACTGTTACTATACTATAAAAAAAATACATCCTTGGCCATATAATCCTTGGTTCTCTAATTCCATGCCATTTTTATTTCAATATGGTAATATTTGTTTCAAAATGTTTTTGGATAGATAGAAAAGCCTCAAAATGAAGAGAATCCAGTTGAATGTCTTAAGGCTGGACCACACTTTTTGATGTTTGATAATATCAGAGTCGAAAAAAATTGGCCAGTGTGCATAGGTGTACAACAGCCCTATGACAAAATCAGGAGTGATCAGGAGATATCTGGCGTGTCCTGTCGGCAAGAGTGCATGTGTTTCCGATAAATTGTCGTGACCTAGTATCACATGCTCACTTCTGGATGACATATTGTTTACGGTAGATCTACAAAAAGCAAATCAAGTCACCCCAGTGGGACAAAAATCGGTATGTGTGCGCTGAAAGTACGTCCAATAATTTGAAGCTGTATAGTGTTACATCAAAAAATCAATAAATGTGAGCCGAACTCTAAACTATGATATTGCACATTGCCGGAAGGGAGTAGATGCCTGACTGGTCCATTAACAATATCATCAATAACCCTATTCCTATATAGAATTATCTGTCAACTTACATGTGTGACATTAAAGTATGTTTTAAAACTTTGGCTGTTTGTTGAATCTGTTTTAATCTTTCGTAAGATTTCTGGTTTTTAGTGAACACCAATACTCCTGACTGCATCCTAGAGCCGATTATAATTCATAATGTACATTGTGATGGTTTCTGGCTATAAACTAGTGCTAGGTATTGCCAATCGTACAATGATACTATATGAATCACAATACTAGAGCTAGAGATAGAGCTATGATAGGATATTTTTTTATGAAATAATATCTAATGGAGTTTACATAAATCTTCCTCTTGATATGAACAGGCAGTTCCATTTTTTTATATGCAAAAAGACACTCTTACACAATTCCCAGCTGGCAAGGGAGCTACGACATTTTTCAATCTGAGAATAAAAGATGTTACCTAGAGAATGGAAGACCTATATCAAGTTTTTCAGCTTTCCAGATCTTGGTTAACTGTGGAAATATTTCCTCCATTGTTACCAAATTATCATTATATATTGTTCCTGAAAAAAACAACATGGTATATTTACTCATTTGTATAAACACAGTAACCAAATTTTTTTTTTTTTATTGTAAAATTTTTACAAATGGAAAATGATTTTTTAAAAACAGTTATTCAATAAACTATAAAGATAAGTACTATAAGCTATATCTATGGTTAATTAAGACAATTCATCTGAAACCTAATAATATATGAGAATGAAATAAAAGGTGAACAAATAAGAAGACATTACAAAAACGTGAGGGGAACATACCTGGTCTTCTGAACTGTGGGGTCATTGGAGGTTTATTTACACCAATCAGATTTTCTACAACAAAAAAAATAAAAATCATTCATATTAAACCTAAAATCTTTATTGAATTTTTTCTCCATTAATAAATTTTGATTGATGGATAATGATGCTAGTGAGGGAGGAAATGTCTACATGAAATACCTGATGCCATTCTGCCAACTTGTCTGTCAATATAGACTACTAATTCACATTTAAACCTACATTTCAATCTATTTTCTTAGACATGTTTCTTAATTGAATATAGTGATGGCTTATAAGGCAATTTTGGAAGCTGCTAAAATCATTTGCAATCGCAAGGCTATTGAAAAAAAAAACTAAAAAGATTCATAAACAAAATACATGATTTACAACAGATATCAAAGTTACTAAGTTTCTCTTACTAAAGTGATTTGCTGCATCAGACATTAGATTAATAGGTCTCCCCTACTTATGACAAATTTAAAGTTTTTAAAAAGTTCAACCCACCATCTTCATAGAGAACATTATCTTTACACCAGTTGATGAGAAAATCTTTCTGACATATATCATTCTTGTTGAAACCATAATAATCGGTCATGTTACAGTCTGGGGCTGTAGATAGTGACATTAATCGACAGCCCTGATGAAGGTATAGCTTAGACAACCTTCTCAACAAGGTCATTGTCAATTGATTGTTATCATTCGTTGTCCTATAAGTGTAAATATTATCATAACCATTCTTAAGAAATTCAAATCAAAACATGAATACATGGCTATTAGTATTATGGGGTAGAGTAGGGGCTGATTTGAAGAAGACCCAAGGCATCCAACAAGGGCATAGTCTTTGTTGAGACTCTTTTTTGAGATTTTGTCGTTGGACTGTTTATAAGTATAATGCATATCAGTCGACCGACAAAGGCTCAAACGCTTCACCAAAGGTTACACTGTACCGTTGCCACAAGTACCGAGGTAGTTCGGGCCGACAGGTCTTGAAGAAACAATTGCAAGTACCTGTGCCATGGATGGGCATGGGATATACATCTCATTCTCTTCCCATTTGAATGTCAAGTCCACCCCCTCAAACCTAAATGTTTTTTTAATCATTATTTGCATTTATCACTGTGCACTAAATGTTCATCAACGGATAATAAAGTGCAATAGACTAACAGAATAGGTGATCTAAACTGAAAAACTATAACTTCCAATACTTACCATAAAACGAAAGTAGAATATATATTATAATCCGAAAAGTTAACTTTAAAATTTTACGTATGGAAGTCGTCATTTATTTCATCGGCTGTTAAAAGATATAACGAACTGTTTATTGTAAAGATAACATCGCCTTCTTATTAGATAACAAGATGATTTCTCTATATTATTGAGTTTTGATTAGAATTTCTCTAACTTTAAGAATGATTCGGACTTTTTTGTTAACTTTTATAACCGGAAGTACCATCTCAAAATACCGGAAGCACGTGTAGTTGTTTACATATTTTTGTCGAAGACACAAAAACTTTTAAGGTAAAAGCCAATAATTTGTTTGAATTTTAGAATCTGTTTTGCATGGAATTATATCTGCCTATTTCCCGATACTTGTAGCAATTTGAGAGTAAGAGTTGGTGATCTTTGCCTGATAAACGTTGAGGTATTTGAATTTGATAATTCAATGGTAATATCATACCAACACAGTCTGAAATGATAACCCGAGTAGTTGCTGAGTCTTCTCTACTGATTGAGTACTTATTTACAGTCTATATTTAGGGCAGGGATGATCAATACACTGGTATCATTATAAATACAGGTATTTGTATCATAAGTAGTATTGCTTCAGTTAAAAATACTGACATTTCTTTCTTTAAAAATTTCAGAAAATGGCGAAGAGTTTAAGAAGTAAGAGGAAGAGAACTAATCGTAGAATAAAAAGAGAAAAAAATGCACACAAAGAAATTGACAGATTGAAAAGATTAGCAGCCATCAGAGAAAAGGCTTTGGGATTGGACACATGTACAGGTAACAACAAAATCTCTCACTCTCTTTCTTATCTCCCAAAACAAGTGAAAACTTATTTTAAGATCGTGTTCCAGCCATCTATCTGTTTGGTCAACCATTAACATTGATTTTAAATTTAGTTTTACAATTTTATTGGATTTCGGTATATTTCTTCAATTTGGTTCTTATATTAGCCAAGTTATGCAAGAATAAAATAGTTGGTCTAGTACTGTGGTTTGTTTGACTGTAAATAAATGTTCAACTCACTATTCTAGTATCTGTTTAGTATATATTTCATTGTTTTGAATTGATAAATAATTGTTGATTTTTCAGTGAAGTCTGGATACCAGTTAAGAAAAGACAAAGAAGGTAAGTGTTCTGGTTAAATTGTATAAAAATGAAACATGATTTAGGCCCAAGTTGGATTGTAGGCCTATATTAATACTGAGAACTTTATAAACAGTGAAAATATGCCTTGTTGTTTTGTTAAGTGTAGTTTCAAACTTTGAATAGTACTGTCAGAGCTGTGTTTTATAGGTGAAACAAAATTCTGTGTCTCACATACTTGATGACGGATTACAGAGCCTTGAGAGAATTTATAGCATGGGTTTGTCTGAACTTAAAGAAGGAAATCATTGCCTCCAGAATGAGGATAGATTTATAATAGCGATGAAAATTGTTCAAAATATTGACTGTTATGCAATAGAGATCGATCACAACTACATGCACTAACATCAGTCACAAAATTAGACTTCTGTCAAACATTAAGCTGTTATTCTATCTTGGTGGTTAACTGAATAATCCTTGGTTGTGTTTTCCAAAGGTCACAAGTGGCATATGGCAGCAGCTTACAGATCTACTGTGGCTTTCATAAAGTATTTATTTATTATAGACACAGCGATGGAAACAGATAAACCAGCTAAACAATATGATCCTAAAACATATAAAGATGAGAAAGGGAAATACCCTAGTTGGATGAACAGTAGAACTAAGAAGAAGTTACGTCGTGAGGCCAAGGGTAAAATATTGCCTCCAATGTACAGGCCTACCTGAGATTCTACACAACGTATTGCTTATTGTACAAATTGTAAATATGGGAAAAAAATTCTGTCATTAAATTCAATTGTTTTCTTTTTATTAGCTTGATTTATGTGACTTTATGTAGTATAAACAGGTGAAAAAAAAATTGTCTAAATTGCAACAAAAAGGGGCATTTCTTTTTATTTACCATATAAAGGGGAACATGAAATATTTCTGATATTCTACATTATTTACTACAGACATCATATTCCATATCTTTCTCCTACTAAATGATTTACAACAGACATCATATTCCATAGCTTTCTCTCAATAAATGATTTACAACAGACATCATATTCCATAGCTTTCTCTCAATAAATGATTTACAACATGCATCACATTCCTTAGGTTTCTTTTACTAAATGATTTACAAGAGACATCACATCCATAGCTTTCTCTCAATAAATGATTTATAACAAGCATTATTCCATAGGTTTTTATACGACCACATTATTGCCCTTGACTTACGAAAAACGTGTCAAAATTTGGTTGTGAACACAATAGAGACTACAGTTTTTATCCAATTTCAATGAAATTTGCCGTGAATATTTATAATGATGATATCTTGGACAAGTTCAAATTTGGCTATCTTTCGATGAAAGGTTTTTGAGTTATTGCCCTTGACTTATGAAAAACACGTCAAAATTTGTTTGTGAACACAATAGAGACTACAGCTTTCATCCAATTTCAATGAAATTTGGTGTGAATATTTATAATGATGAGATCTTTGTCAAGATTAAATTTGAAAATTTTTCCATCAACAGAATTTGAGTTATTGCCCATGACTTAGTAAAAACGCGTCAAAATTTCTTAGCGATAGAGGTGACAGTTTATGTCAGAATTTTATTAAATAATGTGTGTTTGTTTATATCAACAATATCTTGCACAAATTAGATTTTTGGTATGATTTAACACAGATAGGTGACTGCCCTTGATATACTTAAAATGTATCAGAAGAGTGGGTGTATCTTGATAGGCAACCACTTGTTTCTATAAATGATTGACAACAGACATCACATTCCTTTGGTTTCTTTTACTAAATGATTTACAAGAGACATCATATTCCTTAGCTTTCTTTTACTAAATGATTTACAAGAGACATCACATCCATAGCTTTCTCTCAATAAATGATTTACAACATGCATCATTCCATAGGTTTTTTCTATAAATGATTGACAACAGACATCACATTCCTTAGGTTTCTCTCACTATATGATTTACAGCTGACATCATACTTAATAGGTTTTTCTCAATAAATGATTTACAACAATCATCATTCCATACGTTTCTTTTACTAAATGATTTACAATAGACATCATATTTCATAGCTTTCTTTTACTAAATAGTTTATAACAGACATCATACTTATTAGGTTTCTCTTACTAAATTATTTACTATAATTATTACATATAATAGTGTTTCTTAAAATAAGGTTTTTCAACTAAATGATTTATTACAAACATCATACTATGGGGTTTCTTTAACAATATAATTTACAACAAGCAGTATATTAAATAGGGTTCAAACTGGTGGGATAATAAAACATTGAATCAGTGTTAATAATTAAATCTTTGTTTAGGTTGAGGCACTTCACAGGCCAATTTATGTCTAGAAGAACATCCCGAGTCATTGAGAACTGAATCGAATTTTTTATCTCCAGATAAATCATGTCTCAATTGAAGACATTCTTCCCCTTCACCATATTCGTGACCAAAGTTATTCGGTTCTCCTTCCATCCAAAATTTGTCTATCTTTCTTCCATCGAACCATAACCAGTTCCCTTCCTCATGCACGTCAGTTCCACCAACATAGACATACTCTGTAAATAACAAATTCTACATCTACTTTTGTTTTGGCGGAAGGTGATTCCACGATTTGCTATTAGTTTCAATTACTACTTAACACTGTACTTTCAATATTTTTGGTTAAATTTTTTGAATTAAGAGAGAATAGATTGAGAAGAAGTCTCTTCAAGCCCTATATGTGCTCTGATAAACATACACGGAACCTTAAAGGAATACTATCTCGAAGAATGGATAATAAAAAAGAAATTCTGAATGAATGATATATATACTTTTGTTTTTAATTTGGAGGAAATACGACTTGCTATTAGTTTCAATTACTACTACACACTATACTTATTTTTTGTTAAATTGTGAAAATCTCTTTTGAATCCTTCTAAGTGCTCTTAATGAACATACTTGAAACCTTTTTAACCTTAAAGTAATACTACCTCGAAATGGACATATCTCAAACTTGATCAATTATATCACTTATCACTGTCATGATTAATTAGAATGGAATCTCCATTGAAGACGATATATGCATAAAACTAATTAGTAATTTTGGATTTTCGTTGCTAAGCATGTTTCAAAATGACTTAGTTTAAATGAATTATTACTTCGTTTTATGGATTTATTGGATTATAGAGAGATTCTTTTGTATAGTTTTGACACCAGGTAAATCCACTGATGAACAAAGACCAAGTTTAAAATTTTCAATTTTTTGGCCATCCTAAGAGGTAGTAGTGAACCTTTAAATGGAAATATTCTTGATATAATTAAAAAAAAACCTTACCTTTGTATGATGTATATTTAGAAATAAGATATTGTCGTTTGGCTTCAGTATTCATTATCATCAGATGACCGCCTTCCCGGCGACAGTGTTCTTTTGCTTCCCAACCATTTAATTCCAGATTATAAAATTTTACACAGGATCCATCACTTCCTATCAATTCATAACCTTTATCAAGCGGGCAAGGTCCTAAAAAGATGGGAAAAATATAAATGATATTAAATTCCGTGTTGCAACAGCTAATTTAGATAATATAAACAACTCCAAGCAGTGTGCAATGGGGAGTATTTTGCAAGCACAAAACTGTTCCAATGCATCTACTCGACTTACCTCCAAACTATCGAGAAACCATAATATTGAAAAATCACGTATATGTAGCTTTTGACCAAATCTATCGACATCCAAGTACATTTTCATCTGGGTCGAATTGATCTATAGGAAAATAAAAAAATTCCGTGATCCGTCTACGGAACCTCAATCATAACTTATAACCGTTCTGAAATCTTCCAAGCGACTGACTTTACACAAATTTATACGCGTCCATTTCAACCGTGACCTCTTGAGCAAACTTACTTGAATAAGTCCAAAAAAAGACGAGACCCTCAGAAGGCTTTGTTTCATCACCAACAGAAGCAAACTGGTTGTAGATGTAACATTCCTTGGTAATGGTTTGATACCCATACGATAGACATTGGTCAGTCTTCTGTAATTTCATACAAATCTTGGTACATTCGCCAACTGTGAGATTAGAATGGGTCTCCGTAGGGTTGTCATATTGTACATTATTCACACCGCTATCGGTATAAAACTCGTTACAGTCGTCAGAAACAACAAATCTGGAAGATGCAAGGAGGGTAAGGACTAAATACAGCATTGTCAATTAGAAAGACACACCTGTGGTGAATTTCTCCGGTCAATGAAAGTATATCTCAGATTCTAAGATAAATTATACTGTCTTGCTAAAATATCCAAGATGTGGTACAATGTCTGGCTAAACTATTCAATATCCAGGATGTGGTACAATATGTCTGGCTAAACTATTCAATATCCAAGATGTGGTACAATGTCTGGCTAAAATATTCAATATCCAAGATGTGGTACAATGTCTGGCTAAAATATCCAATATCCAGGATGTGGTACAATATGTCTGGCTAGAATATCCAATTTCCAGGATGTGGTACAATATGTCTGGCTAAAATATCCAGGATGTGGTACAATATGTCTGGCTAAAATATTCAATATCCAAGATGTGGTACAATGTCTGGCTAAAATATCAAATATCCAGGATGTCGTAAAATGTCTACCTAAATTATCCAAGATGTGGTACTATGTTTAGCTAAAATCCGTTCTGCGTACCCAGGATAATCAAACTGAAATCCAACCTTCTCCTCTCATAAAATACTGTACGATAACTAGCTTATTTCCTTTTAGAATGTCCACAAACAAAACAATGTATTGAAAATATCCATTTATTAAGTTTACTTATACTCAAATGCTCCGATCCTCGCAAAATTCGCAAACAGTTAATAAAGTCAATCCACCAAAAAATCATTGCACGCGTCACGCGAGCTGATAATTGAAGAATTGTCTGAGCTATCCTTATTGATTCAAATATGCAATATTCAATTCTCTCTATAAGAGCGTTCAGTTATTTCCAATGTTAATAATGCAATAGTTGCGTTGTATCTGTAGGCTAAATATTCACAGGACAAGTTATATTTTCATACTTTCTTATTATTTCAATATTGGAATAAGATAGTTGTTTAAAGGTATCAATACCCTGAAAAAGGGCTCGGGGTGTCTGCCCAATATTATCCTCATATTTAAATAGTAAATTATATTTCTTAAAATTTTCACCCGTTCTGTATCTGATTCTAAAGATGTATTGGGCTTTGTCGATCGCAATAGGGCCAATTCGACTTTTCAGAACTTCAGATTATTAAGAAAATAAAGTATGCAATGGGAGAAACCTTTTTGAACATGAAGATGATGAACGTATTCATTTTCGATTTTCATCTGCCGAGGAATCTTTAATGCAAAAGAAGGTAATGGTAAACAATTGGTCCTCGTTAAGTACATCAATTAATCAATGGACTAGTTTCATTATTTCAATATAAAATACAATAAGTAATGTTGATCTGTTTAAATTATTGAACATCTTAGTTATATTGATAGCCGATAATAATATTGCTCAATAAACAGTACTAGCTGAGTGAACTTCCTTAAATATATACTATAATAGTTGATAAACTCAACAGAGACTAGTGTATAGATCTAGTAATTAATCTCTTCAATAGGATTTTGAGTTAAAACAGGGTAGTATTAAGTGTTTCTATAGGTTGGGCATGCCCCATGTCCAGGCGTAGGAGGGGGGGTAGAGTGCTTTCGGTGATGCTCTAAAAATAATAAAATAAAAAAATAATGAAAATCCGCCGAAAAATATGGGGCAACAACCCAAAACACAGGAAAATAAATGTAAAATTCGTGGAGAATTTCGGGCAAACTTGGACCCTTGATTTTTATGACAACGACCAAACACTTTTCTCTCTTATTTATGGTCGAAGGGAGATAACTCCATTTAAGATAACCTTAGAGTAGTCTCCCGAAGTAAACAATATGGCTGATGAAAGAAGCTTGAGATTTAAAAAGTTTGATTTGATCGTCTCTCATTGTAAGTATATTCATTTGCTATAAATGACAGTGGTGCAACCCGAAGCCCAACACGCTCCGCTCAATGTCATGTGAACTAATTCACGCCTGTTTTTACACACACGCCTTTGAAATCTGCATTTTTCTCATTGTCCGGTACTCCGGACCTCATCCGTGTGTTACATCTTTACTGTCAGCGAATCTACTGAACATGATTTGTCCATTATTTCGATGTAGTGCTTGTTTTGCCAATCATGCCATGGCCACGATACAACGCATGTCACAACACAAAGGCAACAATACAATATGCATCTGGATATGGCATTTAATAGAAAAAACTATAACTTATTATGAATTTATATTTATAACTGCATATTTGTTGATAAATAATCATAAAAATTATATGAGGTGTAGGGCCTATACTGTAGGCTACCTATCTGTTTGATTTATTATCGACAAATGGAACTACAGCTTTAGATTTCCTTTGCATTAAAATATCAAGTTATGATATTTGTCTGATATTCCTTATATTGTATTTTTTGATGAACACACAATATGATATGATATGAAAATTAAGGCATGTGGTATCATGAGGTAGCCGCTACGTTCACTGATGCATCCTGCCATTACTATACAGTCGAGTGACCTAATTACGTGAAAATAGGTTACACCACTATACTAATTATTTGTGATTTCATTGTAATATGATCTTCAAAATTACAACTTTATTCCTTCTTCAGAAAATGGCATAGTAAAATTGAAGAAGATGAATTTTGCAGCTGATGTGGTTGAGGAGATTGCCTTAGAGGGTTTGGATGGTGAGATGTTTTTACTTTTTTCTCAAAATGTAGTTTTACTTAACATAAAAGCAGCATTACAAATTTTGACTAGTAAAAATTAAAGACTTATACAAACTAATATTTGCTTGTAGGAATAACATTCAATGCACTATGGGTGAGATTAGAAGCTCGAAAAGAGTTTAGTTTGAAACTGGATCCGAAGAGTAAGGAATTTATCTGGAAGAATGTAGGAGTGAATCCGAACCTAGAGTTCTATGTGATGCCTGAAGCTAGAGAAGATCTCTTACCCTATGATAGATTTGATTTTAAAGATCCTACTACTGGTATCTGGGTTCATAATGTAAGTATTTTACATGATAATAATAATAATACCCAATGTATATTACTTTAAAACACATCTCGGTACTTTTTACAAACAATATTTTAACAAAACACATACAATATGATAGCTTTATACAATAGAATAAAATTTTCACTGTTAAAATAATGCTCAATACATTGTAGAGAGATATAGAAATACCACTGTTAAAATAGTACTCAATACATCAATTGTAGAGCGATATAGAAATACCACTGTTAAAATAGTGCTCAATACATCAATTGTAGAGCGATATAGAAATACCACTGTTAAAATAGTGCTCAATACATCAATTGTAGAGCGATATAGAAATACCACTGTTAAAATAGTGCTCAATACATCAATTGTAGAGCGATATAGAAATACCACTGTTAAAATAGTGTTCAATACATCAATTGTAGAGCGATATAGAAATACCACTGTTAAAATAGTGTTCAATACATCAATTGTAGAGCAATATAGAAATACCACTGTTAAAATATCACTCAATACATCAATTGTAGAGAGATATAGAAATACCACTGTTAAAATAGTGCTCAATACATCAATTATAAAGTGATATAGAAATGCCACTGTTAAAATAGTACTCAATACATCAATTATAGAGCAATATAGAAATACCACTGTTAAAATAGTGCTCAATACATCAATAGTTCAGCGATATAGAAATACCACTGTTAAAATAGTGCTCAATACATCAATAGTACAGCGATATAGAAATACCACTGTTAAAATAGTACTCAATTCATCAATTGTAGAGCGATATAGAAATACCACTGTTAAAATAGTGCTCAATACATCAATAGTAGAGAGATATAGAAATACCACTGTTAAAATAGTACTCAATACATCAATTGTAGAGTGATATAGAAATACCACTGTTGAAATAGTACTCAATACATCAATTGATAGGCTACATAAAATGATATTTTATTGATTTGTGTAAAGGAATAATGATAAATGAAATTTTATATTGTCATGTGTCTTGCCTTATTAGAGCTATAGATTTTTTTGTTGATTTGGCTTTGATATTCACAAGAATATTAAAAGTAACAGTACCATCATTTGCCATCAATAATTAATCCTACTTTATTTAATGTTACTAGATTTGGTATTGTAGGTAGCAGAACAGAATATTTACCCATTAAAGATAATAGAAAATAAACCAGGTCTGCAGGGCTCGTGTTTTTATTTTGATAGGAGAAAGAATGTTACCATGAAGGTTCGATCACTTAAAAATAAAAAGGTTAATATGTCACTGGAGGAGATCTTAGCTAAGTAAGTTTTGTTTTTAAAACCTGTAAAATCATGAAAGTTTTGGCATAGAATTACTAGAGAGCAAATGAATTGGTTTTAGCAAAAATCAGTTAATATCATTTTGAATTTCTATTTTTATGTTTTTATGTTACATGGAATCAGGGCTGTTGATTTGGCTCTATATGCCGGACATGACCGACAGGGATGCTAAAATGTCCGACGGTCAATATCCTCTATTGGACATCAAGTATAGGTTAACCATTCCATGGCTTTCAATGTCTGAATGTGCAAAATTTAATGACAACTCTCTATTGAAATATAAAGCCTCAATCCATGATGGAATGATGAATTGCTCTGTGTTGTCAAACAGATTATATATCCTCTCAAAACAACTCTTAAACCTCTTAAGTGTGTTTATTACAGTAATTTATGCACATAACATATCTAATAAATCAGAATTGACAAGATGGTGCACCTCATGGGGAAGGGAACCAAAATATTTGAATTAATACATATTTTTTTCATTATTTTAGATGGGGTCAGAAGTTTGTACTAGTGGCCAATCAGAAGACTAGATATGATGTCTTGGTACATGAACGTGACCCTAGAATAGAGTTAACTCACATGATGTATTGTGTCTTAGAAAGAGTTGGCAGGTAATTTTTGTATGATCACGCACATTTTTCTAATTTTCTTAAAACTAGATGAAATCAACCAAATAATATATAATGGGATGTGTTTTAAAAGTGGTCTCACCTATTACTCATATTTTTATTTCTACATCTTACGTGAATTTGGCTGTTTTATGCT